ATATATATATGATGAATAAGATGAGTATTTTTCCCAATATTTTTGCAGCGTATCACAAATCAATGTTTGATTTTTAATGCACAGTGTTCAGCATAATCTATAGCTGCACAGTGTTAACCGTTTTTTTTTTCAGACTTTATGTGAGTAAACCGTTTTCTAAAGCAAACCTAACATTTTTATCACATTCTCCCATTTAAGAAGCCCTGTAAAATAAACACGCAGTAGAGATGTCAGCTTTGATATTTTGTGTATAAAAGGAAATAATTAGAGTGATTTTAGAACATTTCCTCATATTTAGTTAAACTACCTTTTAAAGGTTCTACCTTTAGGTGACTTTTTTTTAAATAAAGAGTGCAGATAAATTGATATAAATATAGTGATGGCCTAACAAACCAATTACAAACAAAGTAAGATCCAAATCCTCGTATTTACTTTTAGTGAAAGTTGTATTTATTTGTCAGACTAATTGCAAAATATTGAATTATTTTTCATTTGAATTTTTCCTTTTGGTATGTATATGTATTATCCTCCCACACTTTGGGGTTTGAACAGCTAAATGCACCACAATCTCCACCTGGAAGCAAATAGGGTCACATCTAAACTGCTGGTTCAGTGCACACACGCCTACTGCTAATTGTGAGTTCTATGATTAATGATTATAAACATAAATAACTGTTGCTCTTTTTGTGGTATTTTCCAGCCAGCACACTGGTTTTGTTTTGATGTGCTTCAGGCTTTGTGCTGTTTTTGGAACACCTCATTACTTTTTCTGCCTCCTGACTCAATCAGCGGAACCCACTCTGTGTTTAAATTCTGTCTCGATATTTGAATATGTTCCCTGAAAATGTGAGTTAGAAATAAAACTGGTAAAAAGGTCAGAAATAGTTTCTAAAATGTACAAAATCTGTGTAGAGTCGTTCTTCCAGTCTTGGGAATTAACATTTCACACCAGTTGTAAAGGTTTTGGTTTGCAAATACAGAGTTCAGACTTGGCCTCTCATGCTCAAACACACTAACCGTATAATGAAGTGATAAATCAGAGACATGAATCCTAATTTGCCGCCATCACTGTCTAATGTTTACAGCAGTTTCAAATCTGCTGCCCAAAGTATCTCAAATACAATGTAAGAAGAAAAAAACGTTAAATAGTGCCACTTTTTTTTTATCAAACTACCAAGCATCCTTTCATCTTTCACAAATGGCAACGTCTTCATTTCCATCACTTCCTACTAAAATACATCAGCAGCTATTCTCATTACTCCGTTTGCCCTGACTTTCACTAACATCCTTTTCACCCAACACACCGGGCGCCAAACATCACCCGTGGAGCGCAGCTTCTGTCATGTTTAAATTATGACATAACGGAGCGTTTACGAAGCCCAGAAAGCATGCAGATGTAGCGGAACTCGGCAGGATATTGAGCGTGTCCGGTGGTTCGATTTTAAAATGGACCTGTTCACAGCTCAAGCTGGCTGGCACCCTATGCCGAGAGTCGGGCAACTCGTGCGACCTGGCAGAGTTCTGCACCGGGGCCAGCCCCCACTGCCCGGCCAACGTTTACCTGCATGATGGACACGCCTGCCACAATGTCGAGGGCTACTGCTACAACGGCATCTGTCAGACTCACGAGCAACAATGCATCACCCTGTGGGGTCAAGGTAAAACAGTAGAATAAAATTAATATATCTAAACAATGGATGTGTTCAGATTTTTTTTTCTTTTATTAAATCATCTTCATCCCCATTTTATGACTTGCTTTTTCTTGTCTTTTGTTGGCAGGAGCCAAGCCTGCCCCCGGGATCTGCTTCCAGAGAGTCAATTCTGCAGGTGATCCTTACGGGAACTGCGGGAAGGACTCCAAAGGCTCGTTTGCCAAATGCGATGCAAGGTACGACTCTGGTGCCCGCGCTGATGCAGTGGAGCTACAGATACAGTGGAGCTACAGATACAGTGGAGCTACAGATACAGTGGAGCTACAGATACAGTGCCTCACTGTGCAAAACACAAGGAATTGGCTTTAAGCAGCATCATTAGCAATCATCACGTTTCAGAATCTGACATGTGGTCTTTGAACAAAAGTCTAACATGGATGAAAAGCCTAATCTGTGAAAGATAACAGCAAATTGCTCTCCAAGAAGTGGATCATTTCATGCAGTCTTGTAATCTAATTGTTCTAAGAATCCCCCCCACACCCCCCGGGTGAATTCAGTAATCAAGCTTTTTGTTAAAAGATGTAATTGCTGTAATGATGGCAGCTCTCCTCGACACTCGCTCATCTATCTATGTTTGCCAGTGACTGACGCCACGCCGTTGTAATGGGTTTTATGGAATGCTTGTTTGTTCAATTCAGAGACGCAAAATGTGGTAAAATTCAGTGCCAGGGCGGAGCCAACCGGCCAGTGATCGGTACAAACGCCGTTTCCATTGAAACCAACATCCCGCTGCAAGAAGGAGGGCGCATTCTGTGCCGAGGGACACATGTATACCTGGGTGATGACATGCCCGACCCTGGACTCGTTCTGGCCGGAACAAAGTGTGGAGAAAACATGGTGAGTGATCATTGCACGGAAGGAAAAAAAAAGGTGTATTTTCTTCTTTAAGCCTTTGAAACTTAGTGATACAGTGGAGTGATACATCAGAAACGCACAAGCCTCTTATTAAATACTGACAGCTGTTCTCCTGTTCTCTTCCTTCGGGCACTGAGCAGGTTGAGCAGAGAAGGGGGAAAAAAATTAATGAAGTTAACTCATGAGTCCAGGGATTCATTTGTACACTTCATGCGTAGGACTGAACAAGCCCGCTTAGAGCAACCAGTTATCCTATTAGGAGTGTCTCTCAACCTTTCTTCTTCTGTCATCAGCCTTGGGAAAGGGTTTTTTTGCTCTCAATTGTCTCTACAGAAGAAGCTACATGACCCATTTTTTTTTCCTCAGCAAGAACATTTGACATACAATCATAACTGATTTTCAAACCCCTGATTCCTCTCGTAGCTGTGAATTCGTGAGACGTCTTTGTGGTTTAAAACTGGATGGAGGTTGAAAAGCCACATGGCAACTTTGTAAGAAAAATGTGTTTAACTGTTTGAGTTGACACTTTATTAGTCCAACAGGAAACTGAACGCATTATGTTCGTATTTAAAGTGTCAGGAAAGAAAACCGAATGATTTAACAATCTTAAAAGCATATTTTAATAATAATTATAGTGCCAAAATGAAAGGAAATTTAGAGTTGTCATGATTTTTTTTTTTCTTTTTTCATTTCAGTGGACCCGTACTCGGTGCTAAACAGCTTTTGTACTTTCTTTGGATTTTACAGAGAAAATGGTTATCAGCCTCGCCAGCTTGTTCCCTGGTTACAGTCTCCCAGGTCATGAGTTTGTGCCCCTCATTATCTAGAAATTTTAATGGCCTGGAGGTGGCCATTTGCTACGGGCCTTTGTTCTTAGAAAGGTTTTGTGTTTGCCATGCCAATCAGAGCATTACGTTGGCAGCAGACAACCTGCAATGCAAGGGCAATTTGAGGAAAATGGGTGCTCAAAACAGCTCACATAATGTAGGTCTCATTTTTGACCTAAAAGCACCTGGCATCTAATTATGTTGTTTATTTTTATCTCATTCTAGTTTGATATTTCGGTTTGTTCTTTAGTAATCACAGGATTTATATTTTGTATCTTAGAAACAAAAATTTGCAAAATTGAAATTACCTACGTACGGAGCCCGTCCAGTGACATTAGATTAAAAACAAATGAATGCATGGCCCATAGGATAATTATTGCAGTCATTTCCATCCATGGACATGTCTGAATAAATTTCATTTCATTCTAATATATGAATGAATGACATCAGTCACTTGCAGTAAGACATGAATCGGAATCAGAAATACTTTATTGATTCCAGAGGGAAATTGGTTATTAGAGCTGCAACCGTTCAAGTAAAAATAATTGGAGAATAAAGACAAGGACTCTGGATTAAAATAAATAAAATAAAATAAAATGTAAACACTCTAAGGAAAAAAAGCCTTGTGAAATATGTACAGTATTGTTGGCATCATGTACACCATATATAAAATATAACTTTTTGAAGTCTATTTCTTGTTGTATGTTGCAGCTTTAAAACACAGATGATGAACACAGGTGAGCTGTCTTTGTCCAAAAAGCTTTATTTTATTTAAAGCTCAACAATCAAAACGAGCTCCTCTCTCACCCTGTGCCTTTGCTGCAGAAGCAGTCAGAGTTATGTTACGTTCAGGAACACRGTAAAAAATCTGTTTCCTAAYATTCCCCTAGGACATTCARTGTCATCTTGTAAATACTAGTGCTATGAAAAAKGAACCATTTAGAYTGAACCATGGAGATATACTYTTTRCATTAAACATACACTAAAAAAAWCAACAATAAAAAGTGTGGGGTACAGTTAAAAACAAAAGCAGCATATTTATAAATCTAGCTCCAAYGATGTTTTTATATCTCACAAAAATACACCAAAGTTATCTTGTGGCCACACAATAACTAACGCAAGGTCACAAGTTATTATCTAGTATTATTATTTTTATTTTATTTTATTTTATTATCCAATGTCACCTGACGGGCTCCTTTCCTTAACAGCTCCCCGTGACCCGAAAAACCAAAAAAACAGGGTAACTACTAGAAACAACTGGAAATGTTCCCCTTCTCCCTAACTGTGCCCCGTGTTACTCCGTGGTACATCTGTCTGCACTGTCCACAGAAATGTGCAGCAGAAGTGAAAACATTTCTTACTTCATGCTCACGTTCGTTTTCAGTTCATCATCTTCGCCTTCGCAGTTCAGCGCATCCAAAAAATGTTTAATGATGCTTCCCTCTTTATAGGTGTGCCTGAACCGGCAGTGCCAGAATGTCAGTGTCTTTGGCGTGCATGAATGCTCCGGGAAGTGCAATGGACGTGGGGTGAGTGCAAACGGCCCTTTAGTTCTCTCTTTAGTGGTAAATTATGCACTGCAGAGTGTTACAAGCCTCTGAAGACTGAGTATTTATCCATTCATTTACATTTTGGACCAAACGAACAGTCAGGTTGCTCCCTCTCTGCGCTGTAATTGCGAAACAATCGAAGAGCAACAATGTGTTTAAAGTGCAGCTCGCTCTGCTTTTSTACATTTAATCTATATTGTTCCTCTGAGGTCAAATATATTTAATTTTAACACATTGTTAAGGTGTATTTGAAATTATTTATCCTTTATTTTTCAACAATGCAGACAGGTAGAAGAGGTAGAACATAACAGTAGCACTGCTGCAGTATGGCTGTTTTTTTTTTTTTTGTTTGTTTTGTTTTTTTTTCTAAAATGGTCACCTTTTTTTCCCCAGCATCTCTTTTCAATAATTCAACAAAGGATGCTTTTATGTTTTATTTACTTTGTTGTTTAGTTCTGTAATTGCAGCATTCACCACAGGCAGTATTAGCCCACAGTAACACTGATCTTCACTGTCAATTATGTCAAGACATCTATGCAATGCGAAATCAAAGCTATCATCTTTTTTTTTATTCCCTTATGTAATTCATTAAAGATTGCCTCAACATAAAAGCCTATGAGTAAGCGCTATTATGAGCTGCAAAAGAAGTACTTACCTTGATTTGCTCACAGCATAAAAACAAAAAAAATACATATCTGCAAAGGTATTTTTAACGTCACAAATAAGTTACATTCACGCTAAAGTATACTGTTTCTCCACATGCTTCTATTAGAAAGGCACATAACACTCATCAAAGGCATTATTTTAATTTATTATTTAATCAGGTTTTTTTTTTTAATCTAATTTTCCTGTGTTTTATCAATTTTATATCAGCTCTACTCATTCGTTAAATAATAAGTGTCTTTTAACCTCGTCATCAACAAAAAAGCTTGTGACCTAAAGGCAGGGATGGTTCTTAAGCTTTGTGTCCTGAGCGTAAATCCTCCACATCCACACAGCTCCCTCCACCTTTATCCTCCCTTCAGCCGACAGCTGGACTTTAATATCTCACGAGGGGTTCCGC